GCTGATCCATCAGCTGCGCCCCTACCTGGAGTACGACTGCCTGGCGACAGTGACACACGCGTTGGTGACTTCCCACCTTGACTTCTGTAATGTGCTCTATGTGGGGCTGCCTTTGAAGACGGTCCGGATACTTCAGTTCGTTCAAAATAGAGCTGCCAGGCTGCTGACGGGGACTGGGCATTATGTTCACATGACTCCAGTCCTCCGTCAGTTTCACTGGCTTCCCATTGAAGTCCGGGCCCAATTCAAGGTGTTGGTTATGACGCATAAAGCCCTTAACAGCTTGGGTCCTGGTTACCTGAAGGAGCGCTTACGTCCATATATGCCTGCCTGCTCCTTGAGATCAGCGGGAGAGGCCCTTCTCCAGGAATCCTCCGTGAAGGATATTAGGAGGGTAGGTACTCGGAGGAGGGCTTTCTCTGCGGTGGCGCCCAATCTATGGAATGCGCTCCCCAGAGAGGTCCGCCTGGCGCCGTCATTATGTGTTTTTCAGCGCCAGGCGAAGACCTTTTTATTCAAACGTTATTTTAATTGTTAATATTATTTATTTATTTATTTAGTGGCCAGGTAGACTCTCATTGTTTTTATATTGTGTTTACTTATTTATTATTATGAGCCGCCCTGAGGCTTCGGCAAATGGGGCAGCGTAGAAGCTTCCTAAATAAATAATAAATATATGGCTGTGAAAGTTGGACCATAAGGAAGGCTGAGCACCACAGAATTGAAGCCTTTAAATTGTGGTGCTGGAGGAGACGCCTGCAAGTCCCTTGGACTGCAGGGCGATCAAACCAGTCAGTCCTAGAGGAGATCAACCCTGACTGCTCTTTAGAGGACCAGATACTGAAGATGAAACTCAAATACTTTGGCCACCTAATGAGAAGGAAGGACTCACTGGAGAAGAGCGTAATGGTGGGAACAATTGAGGGCAAAATAAGAAGGGGACGGCAGAGGATGAGGTGGCTGGATGGAGTCACTGAAGCAGTTGGCGTGAGCTTAAGTGGACTCCGGGGGATGGTGGAGGACAGGAAGGCCTGGAGGAACGGGTTTGCGATGGGTCAGACATGACTTCGCAACTAGCAACAAAGGCCCATTAGACGTAGAAACAGCGAGTCAGAAGGGGTCTCCCAAGCCATGTAGTCTGACCCCCAGCTCCAGCCGACTCTGCTCATGACATGCCTGCCATGTGCATGTCCAGCGTATCCTTGAACACCCTCACCCATGGGGCTTCAACCACCACCTGTGGAAGCCCAATCCATACCCTGGGGGTCTTAACTGTCAGGAAGTACTTCCTGGCATCTACCCTAAATCTTGGTTCCCTGAGCCAAGCTCCATTGGAACGTGTTCTGTCCTCCATCACAGGGGGAGAAGGGTCATGGCCCACCTTTGCGTGACACTTCACATACCTGCATGTTGCTTACAGGTATGAGTCTCTGCGTCTCCTCAAGGCTGAAGAGACCCAGCTCCCTCAGTCTCTCCTCATATGGGTTACCCTGCAATCCGGCCACCATCCTTGTGGCCCTCCTCTGCACATTGCTCATGAGGAGACACGCAAGCAGTTGTACTGCATTGCCTGCCTAACTTTTGGGGAGACAGCTCCAGGCTCTTAGATACATTTTTACGCAATACTAAAAGTACTTTTGTTTAGTGTTTAGAGTCATCAATGTAAAACCTGCATCCTACTTAAAAATGAATTTGTGCACTTGGGAGTCCTTTATGTGGACACAATGCTTGTTTGTAGCAGGTAAGTTGGTACTTCAAAGCTGGGGAACTAGGAAGTGGTTACTTCCCTTTCTGTTATCTAGGCACTGTTCAATGGGGTGGATTATGCCCTTCTTGGAATGCTGTGCTGTCATTTCCATAAGAATTTAGTAAAGGATTAAGAACAGGAAGGATTTGATACAAGAAGACCAAGGTGGCACAATTTTAAGTGTCTGCCAGTGCAATTCTATCAATGCTTAGACAGAAGAAAATCCTACAATTCCCAGCATTCCTCAGAAACCATGACTGGCAGGAGGTATGCTGAGAGTTCTGGAACTCATTGTAGATACCAATAGATTAGGATACTAATAAAATAATACTGATAGTATTATTATTCTTCATGCTGGGAATACTGAGCTGGGCTGGTGCAGGAGAGAGAAATAACACTGGGGGTATTGGAGTCAGGAGCACCAAAACGCCTATGCACCTTTTACTAATCACAACAAAATCAAGCCCTGGATGTTTAATGCTGCCACTGGGACATGGCAGTGTCCACCCTCCTGCACCCTGTCTCCGTGAACCTGGTCCGGACAGTGGCAGCAACTGAGGCCTGGGATGGAGGAGGGAGGAGAGCGGGGGAGCGAGCAACCTGAGAAGCAGCAAGGGACACCGCCCGTGCCTTGGAGGTGGGGCTTCATCTGGCTGGGCATCTTGGGAGTGCGTAGCCCAAGGCAGCAGCATTGGGAAGTGGCCTTGAGTGGGTGTTGAGGGGCGGTGCCAAGGGTGCACCTGTTAATGTGGTTACAGGTAGGAGGAAGAATGGCACTGGGGGATTGACAGACCTGCATAGAGGAGGGATCAAATAGGTCCCTGCTCTCCCCTCTTCCGGACTCCCCTGCAACTGCATGTCCCCAGTAGTCACGTGAGTTTGCCCTCTGGCTTTGTGATGCCGCTGCTGAATGGTAGCTTGGCCCGTACTAAGAGCTCCCTCACTCACAACTTGATTGCAGGTGGATGCCGTTTCACATCTACATGAAACGGCTGCCGCCGCCAACACGCAGAGCACGCACAGCACCACCTCTCCCCAAGCCCAAGTGAGGCAGTGGCTGTTCTGAATCAGTGCCTGAGTTCAGCAGTGAACTGGATGAGGGCCAATAAGCCAGCGCTCGATCCAGAAAAGACAGAGGTGCTGTTGATAGGTAGGCTACCTGTCCAGCTGGAAATTCTCAACTTGTCCTGGACGGGATTGTGTTCCCCCTAAAGGACAAGGTTTCTAGTTTGGGGGTGGTCCTGGAGCCAAAAGTGTCCCTCAAGGCGCAGGTGCACTGCAGCATGGAGCCCCCTTTATTGGCTGAGGAGGATTCTCCAGCTACACCTCTCTCTGGACCGACAGCCTCGCTACGGTCATCCGTGCCTTGGGAACCTGATGCCTGTAATGCGCTCTTGGTGGGGCTGCCTTTGAAATGGTCCCAAAACTCCAGTGGTTTCAGAGCAGGGCAGGGTGGCCAATAACAAGGGCTGGTCTGCAAGACTGTATTATGCCAGTTCTCTACCAGCTGCTCTGAGCCCAATTCGCAGTGTTGACGCTCACATACATGGCCCCAAATGGCTTGGAGCCAGGGTCTCTGAAGGAGTGCCTTTCTCAGTATGTTTCTATGCAGTCCCTAAGATCTTACGCAGAGGCCCTTCTCCCAAGAACCACCCCCTAACAAGGTAAAGGGACTGACAGTCAGTAGAAGGGCCTTCTCTGTGATTACAACCCCACCTCTGGAACATGCTCCCCCAGGAAGTGTGCCTGGCAGCGTCACTGTTTTCCTTCCAGTGCCAGGGGAAGACTTTGTTATTCTCCAGGTGTTTTAGTAAGTAGATTGATTTTAATACCACTTTTATTTGAACTGTTTTTTGCTGTGAACTACTGTTTTTCATCACCAGGAGGTGACAAGTTGCATTGGTTTCAATTGATTTTATTCTTTTGTATTGCTTTTATTTTTGTTACATGTTTTTATCTGTAAACCCTCCAGGGAGCTCTATGGGCAATGGGACAGTATATAAATGAAACAAATAGATGAAGTCTGACTGTTTGTGCTTAGAATTACTTCCTGGGCAAGCAGCCATCGTGAAGACTTGCTGGGTATAGCAGGGGCCCCGGGGTGAAAAGCAGCTTTGTAAAACTGAGGAATGTTGCCCCAAAGGTGTAGCGCAGCAGCTGCTGTCGTGGTGCATTTGGTAGTCTCCTTCAGAAGCCAGGAGCAGTGCTAGGCACCACCAAGATCTGGGCCTCAAGACCACAGGACAAAAAAAGCACAAATCTGCATATGCTTATTTGCATATACTTTGAAGTCTCATTTTGTTGTTCAAGGATCTTGGCTTCTAAGGACACCCATTTCTAAAAAAGGGTTGTACGGACGGGGGGTTCCGAGGGAAACCTCAGGCAGAAAGGTGCAAGTGAGATGAGGCCCGTGTGGGCCAGCAGCAACGTAATCTGGGGGGCTCAGGTGCAACAGTGTTTCAGGCCCCCTGGAGTTTTATTTCAGCAAAGGCGCATTTTCAGCAGCTTGGTGGGGCAGGGAGCCCCCAAGTGCTTCAGGGCTCTGAATGAAATATGTGAAACTTCAGCCCTAGTATGCCACTTCCCAGTAGTGCCCTTGGTTCCCATGATCCCTCATTGTTGGCTGTGCTGGCTAGAGCTGATGAGAGCTGTCGGACGATGCCTGTGGAGAGCTGCAAGCTGCCCATGCCAGTCTTAGGGTTTATTTGCAGGTAAGGCTAGTGGAGGAATGTTCCTCGAAGAGGAGAAGTGGGAGGGGCTCCCCTAATACAGGTAGGGCAGGCATGTTGTCTCCTGCAAAGATGGTACACATCCTGCAGATTCTGAGATGACATTGTCAAGCCCGCTGCTTTGGCACAAGCCAAAAAAAACTACATTCATATGAATTGTGCAAACGGTTGAAATATGTGCTTTGACTAACATGAGGTAAGGCTTCCCAGCTGAGAAGCAGCCCTAAATTCTGCTCACTCAAAGGCACAGCTGGTCCTTGTCTGTTATTCAGCCTAAGCATCTTCTATTTATTCTAAATTTTAGACTACCAGGTAGGTTGGAAGATGTGTGTACTTGTAATTTAAACAAAGGAGCAAACAAAAACACTTGATTGTTGCCACCAATGTGTGTCCACGGTGTGATCCAGTTCTACACCCAGACTGGTTGCTGCAGGGTGCCATTCCAGAAATACTTACTTTGGCTTTCTCTGCCCCACAGGTCATCCAGCAGTCCAGCAGGATTGGCCTTTGGCCCTGGAAGCAACCTCCGCCTTCAGCAGACACAGCACCAGGTCGATGAGGTATGTGGCACCTTCCCACCAAAGGCACCGAGTTGCCTGCTTCCTCTCTGGCTTTCTCTTCCCAAGGCTGCGCTTGTGGAGGCCTCGCCGCAGAGTGCGCCTGCCGTGCTCCTGGGGGCCCGTGGCCGTGGCGGGTGCAGCTACTCTGTGCTCGGCACCGCCTGTGCACACACTTACCACAAGTGCAGTGTTCTCCCAGTGAGCTGGACTTGCTGGGCCTCTGCAGATGCTGCCTCTGCACTGTGAAGAAAGAGGCCCCTGTTGTCTTCTTCTAGTGGCAGCCTCACAAAGTGAGATGTTGTGCTGCTTCATTTACAAATTTCTATAAATACTATGTGTGATACGTATTTCTTTGCAGGGGTTCCCCCTGGGACTGGTGGGACAGATGATCGGCGAGAGGCAGAACTAGGCTAACTGTAGGCCAAGCCAACTAATTTAGGATTTGCACCAATTTCCCTTGGAACAACAGCAAGAATATTTTAAAATTGCGGTATAAAACACCTTCTGATTAGCAACAGACCCAGACCTTGGGTTCAAAGGCACACTTAGCACTCCCATGTGCACAAATAAATTGTTTTTGTTTCATCTGAAACTTTTTACATGGGATTACCACAAACTACCATTTATTTATTTATTTATTAAACATATATCCCACTTTATTCTTACAACAAACTCAAAAAGGCTTACATAGTTCTCCTCTTCCTGCTCTCAGTTTTATCCCCACAACAACAACCCTGTGAAATAGATTGGGCTGAGAGTCTGACAGGCCCAAAGTCACCCAGCTGGCTCCATGGCCAAGCTGTGTGGGAACTAGAACCTAGATCAGCTGAGTCCTAGTCCCAGGCTCTTAAGCACACTAGTTTTCATTACATAAATAGGGTTTATCAAATCACAGGTAACGTGTGTCTCCATGGTTTGAACGATGAAAATTTGCATAACATGCATGTAGAGAAAAATCACTGGAGCCCCCTGGCATGCAAAAATGTTTTTCTAAGCTACTTGCTGACCTTGGAACCATCCGTATCATTGTGAGAGCCGGGAAAAGCAGATGTGGCTAATTAACTGTTTTGACTTAGTTTTCTACAGCAAGTAACACTGATAGATTTAGGATAGAAAAGAAGCCTTGTGGCTCTGCCCAAGGGAGCTCCAGTGTTAAATCTAGCTGAGTGAGAAAGGTGCTACATGCTGGCCAAAATTAGGGCTTTTTCCTTGCCAATCGCCAAGGAGGGCTTCCATGTTAGTATGTCTGCTTACAGTATAGTGCCTGTTTTAGAATACAATCTTCAGATTTTAACCCACCTGTGTGCTCATTGCTTCTGGGCCCAAAAAGAAACCTTTGCCTTTGGCAAAACAATGCACCATGTGCAAAAGCAGGGAATCTGGGGACCATATTCCCTTTTGGGGGAGCTCTTGGCTGACAGTGTAGTGGCAGGAGGGGCCAAAGGCAAAAAAGCTGGAGCAAAATAGCAGCATATTTCATCTGAAAGCTCTTGGGAAGAGCAACCTTAGGAGAGACATTCCAGCCTTTTAGAATGAGGACAAGATGCACAGCACCACAGAAACAATCCAAAATTAATTAGAACCCCAGGTAGGCTGAATTTCAGTCCTTGGCCTCAAATTTGCACTTCAGATCTAAGGTATGAATCTTTATGATTTCTTAAGTCTTTTATTTAGAGTTTTTTAATTTGTATGAGCACAGACATCAAAGGTGTAAGTAGAACACGATGAATCCCTGCATAGCAGCAGTCTCTGTGTCTTGGTAGATCATAACCTGAGTAGTGTTGTCAGACTGTCTCTTCTTGAGGTTGTAGTGCTTGGCCAGAGTCAGACTGCGCCAAATCACATGCCTCACAAATTGATTCAGGCACAGTGATCAGGAGCTGGGCAGGAACAGTCCCAAGCAAATAGTCTTATTCATCCAAGGTGTTTCATGATGAGAACAAGGGCCAGAGTGAGTCCCATTTCTTCCAGGCTGATTTGAGGTAGCCCATCCTCAGGGCTTCAGGAAAGGAGCCCACCTTGATGAATTTCCTCTAGCCCTGCCCAAGGCCATGTCTCTGTCAAAAGTTGGGCCAAAATTTTTGTCCTTTTGGGTCTTTATAAAAATCTAAGAAAGCAGGGCTCCAATACCTGGTGTTCCTAGCCCTCCCAAAATTCTGGTGCCCCTTCGGTTCTCATATCCATGAGTTCTTGCTGCTAAAATCAGGAGTAGCCACAGAACCAGGGCACTGACTGAGAACCACTTCAGCCCTCTTTCTGAAGCAGCTGCTCAAGCCTAGCAAAAGAGGCCGCAGGCTGGAAGCCCTTCTCCTCCTCAACTGCAAGAGTTTCTCCACATGTCTGGAGGTCCCTACCTGTCATAGCCTGTACCCGTGTCCACATTCCTGTCATGTGCTTATGTGGACGCATGTAGACCTTCAGTCTGCCTTTGAAGCAGCTTGTCTTGGGAAACAGAGCTGTTCTAGTGCGGCCTTGCATTGGACAACCAGTGGGAAGTTCATGGCCAGTCCTTTCTTTCTAAGATCTCCTTGTCTGATCAGACTTTGGGTGAGAAAGAGAACTTCCCTTTATCTTTTTTGTTTTGGTTTTGACCTCACAAGTAAGATGTGTTGTTCTATTTATAAATTTGATAAATATTTCATACACTAGAAAGGTGACACCTTTGCCCTGGCAAGAGAGGCTGCTAAGGGTTCCTTCTGATATTTCAGGTGGTGGATATCATGAGAGTCAATGTGGGCAAGGTCTTGGAAAGGGATCAGAAACTGTCAGAGCTCGATGACCGTGCAGATGCCTTGCAAGCTGGAGCATCCCAATTTGAAAGCAACGCTGCAAAGCTGAAAAGAAAGTACTGGTGGAAGAACTGCAAGGTAATGGGGGTTGGAGGACAAGAAGCACTGGGGCAGCCTGGTACGGCATGGACCTCTGGATCCTCTGACCCAGAACTCTTGGCCCTGAGTCTGGTAACAACAGTGGATCTCCTTTTTGGGCAGGAGTGTTCCCAAACCTACCTGGAGGTGCTGCTGGAAATTGAGCCTTGGACTAACTGCATGCAAAGCACATGCCGTGTCCAGTGAGCTCTCTTGGGTTCTACTCTTCGAATGCCAAGTTTTGAATGTCAGTATTGAAAAGTTGCCTCTTCACGCTGAATTCCCTGAAGGAACACTGAGGAACTCTGAGGCTGCCCCCTTTCCTCATCCAGGTGTCCCTGTACCTTGCGAACTCATAGCCTGTGGTCCACCCTCCTTAGTTACCCTCACCAACACACACACACACCCTATGCTCTACCACTTAAGTAGCTTATGGACTTGATCACAGAGGATAACTTGGACTGAAATGCTTTCACTAGCAAGGCAAGGGGTGGCTGATGCTACCCTTGTGTCCTTCAGATAACTATAAACTGTGGCAAAGTGGAGGATGGGATCCAAAGAGCAGCAGAGCAGTGTCTCATTATTCCATACAAATCTGTTTTTCTCATGCTGATGGGCACTGTGAGGGCAGGGCGGCACACAATCCATTTCAAGCGGTTTGGGGTCTCCCTGAGCTCATGGCACCGTACACCTTTCTTTCCCGTCAGGGTCAGGACAGCAAAGTGACACCAGAGAAAATGCAGCAACCCCTCTCTGGCCAGGCAGAGTGACTTCGTACTGTTTCTCTTTCATCCTGCAGCCGTTTCACTCGTGCTAACAAATATCCCTTGGTGGTTGTTGACTTCTGTGAGAAGCTGAGATGAAGACCAGTGGGTTTTACTCAGTAACCCTGTTGATACTGCTGGACCCCTGAGTGTCTTCTGATACAATTGGCCCATGGCCTCCTGGGGTGACTGAGTTGGGTGTGGGGGGCACTGTGTTGCAGTGGTTCCACTTCTGCTTGGAGAGGCATCTCCAGAAGGTTTTGCTTCGAGGCTACAGATCAGACCTGTGGACTCTCCAGCATGGAGTTCCTTGGGAGTCTGTTCTATCTGCCATGCTATTTAACATCCACATGAAACCGCTGAGTGGGGTCATCCAGAGTTTGGAGTGCATTGCCATCAATATGCTGATGACACACAGCTCTATTTCTCCTTTTCATCATCAGCAGGTGGGGCTGTGGATGTGCTAAACTGGTGTCTGGCTATGACAATTGACTTTACAAGGACCAAAAAATTGAAAGTCAGTTCAGACAAGACTGGGATGCTTTGGTGGGTGGTTCCTTTGACCAGATGGAATGGCAGGGGGTGGGGTTCAACCTGTTCTAGATGGGGTTGCACTCCCTCAGAGGAGTAGGCTCATAGCTTGGGGGTGCCCCTTGACCCACCTTTGTCTCTTGAGGTTTGGGTGGCATCATCAGTAGCTAGGAGCCTCTTCTACCAGCTTTGGCAGGTGGAGCAGCTACCTCCTATCTGGACAGGGATAGTCTGGCTTTGGCAGGCTATACTCTGGTAATCGCTAACCGGGATGCATGCTGTGTGGGGCTGCCCTTGAAGATAGTGCAGAAGCTGCAGCTGGTGCAGCTAGATTAGAAACTGGGACCTGCAGGTGTGAAAGATGACTTGTTCTGGTCCCCTTCCATTGCATGCCATATGCTTCCAGGCCCAGTTCAAGGTGCTGGTTTTAAGCCATGAAGCCTTGCATGGCTTAGGATCACAGTGCCTCTTGGAGTGCCTCTCACAGCTGCAGCCTACCCAGATGCTACACTCCACCTCTGGAGCCGTCCTGCAAGTGCCAGCTCCGAGGAAGGTACAGAGGGTGGCAACCAGGGAGGGCTTTCTTGGTGGCGGTCAACCGTCTAGAGAATACCTTCCCCACTGCAGATTGCCTGGGACCAGGTTCAGGCGGCCCTCTTTTCTGAGGCTTTTAAAGACTTAGTCGGCTGCCCAGGGGCTTGAGGGGAATCACCAGGTGTTTTGCAGAGTCACTCTTTCTGGTATTCCTTATTATTACCTGTGTTGAGCTATTTTTAGCTTTGTAAGGTTTTTCTGATTTTATTATATTTTTATTGTATTTTTATCATGTGTTTTTATGGATGGTGTAAACCACCCAGGGAGCTTTGGCTGCAAGGTGGTATAAAAATGAAACAAACAAAATGCTTCAGTTTCACAAGATATTGAGATCTTGTATCTTTGCTCTTGTTTCCTTGATCGTTTGGTAATACAGTTTTTTATACACGCGCGCGCGCACACACACACACACACGCCCACAGAATATAGCAGGGGTCCTCAAACTTTTCCAACAGGGGGCCAGTTCAGAGGTGCTGGTGCTGGGCGCTTGCTGCCGGGGGGGGGGGGGGGGGCGCGTGCGCACGCGGCAGTGCAGGGGCGTGCGTGCTCAGGGATCGTTTGCTCTGGGCAGGGTGCCGGCTTGCTCACAAGGAGATCGTTTTGGACTCGCGCGGAGAAAACGATCTGCGTGCGAACATGCCGCAAGTCCAGAACTTCTGTGGTGGGTCAGATAAATGGGCACGGCAGGCCAGATCTGGCCCGTGGGTCGTAGTTTGAGGACCCATGGTATATAGTAAAGCCCTAGGTCACAAGCCATGTTGCATGTCTGTTGAATTCCTGCAAAATTTCTAACAGACATAAAAGGGAAAAATGAATTATGAGTTAAATGTGAGAGTTCTAAGAACTGTTTCCACAACTTTGTTCTGCTCTTTCTTTTTCTTGCCAGATGTGGGCCATATTGATTGCAGTAGTGGTGATTCTCTTAATTATAATCATCGGTAAGTGTTTGAATTATGGTTAGATGCAGAATAAATTCACCAGGCACATTCCTCAGCACTGAAACTCTTTCCTCCCCTGTGGTTTGGCTAGGGAATCTGGGGTGACATTTGCCCCAAGGAAGTGTTGCAACCCCATATCTTGGCTGCCATCTTGGCCATTTGTAACTAAAGTTAACTCAGTTAAATGTGTGAGCAAGCCACTTCAAGAGTGAGATTATTTAGGAGCTTGCATGTTCTGTTTACATCCCAGAGATTCATGGGATTTTAAAAACTAATCTTAAAGTGGCTGAGAGGAATCCCAGCAGCACCTTATGCCCTATTAAGACTTCCTCCATGGCTTTCTTGAGGCTTTTCTTCTAAAGTAACAATATGGGAACTGTGTTGTACATGGCAGAAGTCAGAACAACTTCTGACTTTGTAGACCAAAGCTCTTATAATAAATTCAAGCACAGATTTATCAAAAGCCACTGCAGAATTCCTGAGGTGAGGTGGATGCATGCGAGGTTGGTGCATTCTGCAGCATCCGACTTTGCTTGTGGTGAAGTGTGAGAGTATGCTAGTTATTTCAAGCCTAATGAAAATCTTCCATTAAGAAAGTATTCTTCTGCTCTGCTCACCATACATATTTTTGTAGGTTTCCAGAACTGTATTGTTTCTCTTGATTACACAAAAAGAAAGAACTGTTACCTTCCTATTCTCTTTTATATATATAGTTTGGAGTACGTCCTCATGAACTGTTGGCAAAAACACCAAAGCTGAAGCTGTATCAACAAGAAATGTCAGTTTCCTACATCTAATTTGCTGCCTGGCTAAGTTTCCCTCTGGATATACACAAATCAGTCATTTTGGATAGAAGTGTTAACTATTGTAATTTATTGGCAATGTGCCTTTATTTAAATGAAGTCCTTCAACTTACAATATAAATGCAGTTATGCCTGGTTGGGGCTGCCAAGAGCCATGTAAGAAAATCTGGGAGAAAAATTTAAGGTTTCAGAATTTGATGTGTTGAGATGACCACTGCCTGCCTATATTTTTAACAAATTGTGCCTTTCTGGGTGTGGAATGTGGAGCAGTTCTCATTTGTGCCATTTATTCTCTTATTCACAATTTATTCTCTTATTCACAATTGTGCCATTTTAACAGCTGTTTCCTTAATTAGGTAACAGCTAGTTCTTGATTGGAGAGAACTTCTGTCCATTCTACACTGCTTTTAAACTCTGTTGTAGGGAAGTTGTAGTACACTGAGCACTTAAAATAACCACCAAGACTTCCTGGTTATATTAAAGATGAAAAGCACAGTATGGCTTGTGCCCTTTTCTCGGTACTGCCACACCTTCATGCCTTACCACTTGGACCTCAACAAACGTGACAACGTATACTTTATCTTTTTGTAATTCTGCGTATACTTGACTAAAGCTTCTGAGCTTTTTCTGGGAAAAGTTGCAGGAAAGACGTTCCTCAGCATACCAGCAAGATGTTCTTTATTATGAAAAGGGTGTAAAAAACAACTTAAAGATACCTTGTTTTTGCTGAGCTCTTCTCTCTCTTGAGTTGCCCGTACAGCCATAGTATGCCCTTTTGATGATACCATCTTTTTTTTTTCCGAGAAGGCTGATGCGGGAGCTCCCTTCACCCAACGTACCACAGTCCTGTAATGGGCAAACCTGCACATGGTTACTTGCCTCACTCCCCAACTTCTTTCATCCCGTAGAACCTTTTGTCCCCTTTTCCCTTGGAGGCCCAAACCGCAGCAACAGCGATAGCAAGAGAGCTGGCCCTGCAAACTGTTCTGCCAGTGTGGCCAAAGGCGCCTCATTTTCTTATATCTGCAATGCAAATTAAGAAACACTTGTAATGTTTGTAATCTGTTATTTCTGAAGAAAGGGCATGAATGTTATGATTTAAAACTGTGAAGGTTCTGCTCTTCCTTCATAAAAAATGATTATGTACACATTGTTAGCAGTACAGTTATTAGTTATCTAAACTTTGTGCTTAGCCCAATTCAGGAATGTCAGATTCATAGGTTTGTGAGACTTAATATATTTTTTCTAATACCTCAGTCTTAATTATTGATTTCTGAGCAAGTGTGTTAGCAGAATGTTTCATACTCATAGCAGGGAAAGGGGAGGCTTCATTACAACTGCTTAATAAAAGTGGATTGTAAGTCTCATCTGTTATGTTCTCCTCTGTTATTGCTGGGCATTTTTTTAACTGCTGAGGAGGGGTTTCCGTAATGGGAGATTAATTTTTTTAGTTGTAAACTGCCCAGAGAGTTTTGGTTGTTGGGTGGCAGGCTTCTGGTAGTGGGAAGTTCACTCATTAGGGGCATAGAAAGCTGTGGACTGCCTGGTGTGAAGGTTGCAGATATCACATGCCATCCAGATAGCCTTGTAGATAACATGGAGGTGGAGTCAGTGGTTGTGTTCCATGTTGGTACCAATATAGAGGGAAATGTAGTTGTGAGATCCTGGAAACCAAATTCAGGTTGCTAGATGAAAGGTTGAAGTCCAGGACCCCCAGAGTGGCTTTCTTTGAAATGCTGCTGGTACCACGTGCAGGGCCAGCTAGACAGGGCAGCTGAGGAACCTCAAGGCATGGTTGGGGCGGTGGCGTAGAGAGGAGGGTTTCACACTTGTTAGGCACTGGGGAACAGTCTGGGACAAACTGGACCTGTGCAGGAGGAACCGGCTCCACTTGAAAAGGAATGGAGCCAGACTGCCATAAAAAGGGTGGCAGAGCAGCTTTTAAACTGAACCCTGGGAAGCCAAAAGGAGCTGGGAAGCATCCAGGTTGGGTCAAATCATCCCTAATGGATGAAGAGGAAGGTATTTCTAGTTGCCCAAGTTCAGGAGAGGAGGAAGTAGGTATCAAGGCTGTGGTAAGCTGCAGTAACCAGTTGGAGAGGGCAAAAGTGCCAGGTTGCATGCAGTTGGAGAGGGGCACTGTTTAGGTGTTTCTACGTAAATGCTAGAAGTCACAGGGCCAACATAGGAGATTTGGAGAACCTGGTGATAAAGGAGAAGTCAGGTATGGTGGGGATATGATGAAAAAGATAACCAGTGTGAAGTGGTCATCCCTGGATATGCACTGTGTAAGAAATACAGGGAAGGGCATACTGGCGAAGGCATTGCTCTGTATGTTAAGGAGGGCATCAAGTCCCACAAGATTGCAAATCTAAAGTGTGAAGACTCCACAGAAGCAATATCGCTGAAAATTCCTGGCTCTAAAACTAACTTACTCATAGGGGTATGCTTTTGTTCCCCAGAACAGGATGGGTGATCTTGAGACAGGAAATGAAATTGGCGAAGCTTCCAACAAAGGCAGTGCTGTAGTAATGGGGGACTTCAACTACCCACACATTGACTGGATAAATGCACGTTCCAGTTCTGACAGAGGTTGAATTTCACTACATCATAAATGACTGTGCCCTAGAGCTCTTGGTCATGGAACTGACCAGAGGGGAGGTAATACTGGATTTAGTCCTAGATGGGTTTGCCCAGGACATAGTACAGAATACAAATGTTACTGAGCAGTTAGGTAACAGTGGTCATGCTGGCATCAGATTTAATATAAAATTAGGTGGAAGAGTGCCAAAGAGATTGAACACAGTTGTGCTTGACTTCAAAAGAGAGAACCTCTCAAAAATGAGGGAATTGGTAAAGAAACTGAAGAGGGGCATCAAGAAGTTTAAATTTCTTCAAATTGCTTGGAGATTACCCAAAAACACTATAATGGAGGCACAGATAATGTCCATACCATGAAAGGAAGATATTAAAAGAAATCTTCCTTCAAAAAATGGAAGTCTTACCCAAATGAAAAGAACAGATAGAACCACAATTTTGCACAAGGGAGATGTAAATAAACCATTAGCAAAGCAAAGAAACACTTTTAGGAGAACATTGTTAACACTGTATCAAGGCTAGTGACAAAGAATTCTTTAACTATATCAAAAGAAACAGCGCAAGGAAGCAGTTGAGCCATTGGGTGATAATGAAATTAAAGGAGCACGATGGAGGGATGAGGAAATTGTGGAAAAACTGAATGAATTATTTTCATTCATTTTTCACTGCAGAGGCTGAAGAGCAGATGCTTATTCCTAGCTATGAGGAATTAGGGCAGGTAATAGTGACAAAGGATGAAATTCTCAACCTTACTGACAACCTGAAAATCAGCAAGTCACCTGGTCCAGATGGCATCCATCCTAGAGTTATTCTTTGTGGTCTCTGTGCATCACACATACGGGCTTTGTTCACAAGCTGCATGGCCATTGTTTGGGGCCATCTCCATCTCAATGTGCTCCATGTATACCCCTACTTGGACAATTGGCTCATTGTTGCCCCGTCTACAGAAACTTCCATGCAGACTACCAAGTTAATGTGTGCCTCGCTTATCTAGCTTGGCCTCTGTATACATTGGACTAAATCCTGTCTTTCCCCTATAGTTTATCCACTTCATCGGGGCACGTCTTGACTCCATCTCAGTGAGAGCCTTCCTATCAACCAACAGGTTGTCCACCCTCACCAGAGGTATCCTCTGTCTTATCCAGAGAGACTTTGCCACTACCATCATAATGCAGCAGGTCCTCGGCCTCATGGCTTCCTCGATAGCTGTCATGCTGCTTGTCTGATTGCACATGAGACCTCTTCAACTCTGGTTCCTGGCCTCCTTTGATACCAGAACTGAGCCTCATACAACCAGGCTTCGAATCCTGCCTCAAATCCAGAGGAACTTCTGCTGATGGACAGAGAAAGCCAGTCCTGTCATCGGAATCACGTTCTCCCCTCTGGAGCTGCACTGGCTGTAACAAAGGATGCCTCTCTCTTTGGGTGGGAAGCTCACTGCAGCCACTCCATGATCCAGGGCAAATGGAGCCCACACAGGGCCTCATGCCCTATAAACTTCTTAGAACTTCTTAGCTGTAAGCTCTCCTTGCCTTTCAGATGCTAATCCTGAAGCAGCACATACCAATGGTTGCTTACTACACTACAGTTGTGTACCTCACCAAGCAAGGAGGGACAAGGTCAAGCCCACTGTTGCTTCTCTCCATCAAAGCCTGGAAGTGGTGCACCGCCTGACATACCCCACCCTCGGAGATCCATTTAGCCAGTGCCAGCAACCTCTCAGCCAGACTTGCATGCTGTGTCACCAGTGGGAAATTCATGGCATCATGATGCAATCTCTGTGGGAGCAATGGGGTCTCCCCAAATAGATTTGTTTGCCACACAGGACAATGTTGTTTGCAGCTGCTTCTGTTCCAGAGCCGGCATCCACACCAAATCAATGGGGGACATCTTCCTACAATGGAACAGGAACCTCTTTTATCTGTTCCTGTTTCCCCTGATCCCAAAAGTCATACCAAAAATCCATTGGGATCACATGGGCTCTGTTCACATAACACCTTGGCAGCCCAGGCAGCCCTGGTTCCATCTCCTCGACCTCTCCAACAGAAAGTTCACATGCCTACTTCTCTTACCTATCGAGTCCTCCATCCAGATGTGCTTACCCTACAACTCACAGCATGGAGGAGCCAGCCGTTTCCACCTCACTAATTGACATGCCCCCCCCCCGAACTTCAACACATCCTCAACATTTCTCTGAAACCTGCCTCTCATAGATTCAATTCTAAATGAACAACTTCTCTATCCTCACCATAAAACACGGTTGCCTCTGCTGTACAAATACTATTATTCCTCATATTCTTCCTTGCATAAGAAAGGACTCAAAACATCTTCTATCCGTGTCTGTGCAGCCACCATCTCTGTCTTCCTCACTCCACTTCAAGGCCATTCTGTTTTCTCTCACCCTCTCATTTAGAAGTTTCCCAAAGGCCTCCTGAATTGGGCCCCACCAGTCGAGCAACCACCTCTGTCCTGGAGCATCTCTGTTCTTCATGCACTTTCAAAAAAGCTGTTTGAACCCATGGCTTTTGCAGACCTCTGTCTCATCACATGGAAAACTGCCTTTCTGGTAACCATTCCCTCTGCTCGCCGAGCCAGTGAACTAACTGCCCTATGCATCAACACCCCTTACCTCACATTTCACAAAGTTAAGGTGGTATTCCACCCTGATCCCACCTTCCTGCCAAAAGTGGTCTCTTCCTTCCACATTAATAAGATGATCATCTTTCCAGCTTTCTTCCAGGCTCCCTCCAACCCTGCTGAGCTAGCCCTCCATTCCTTAGATGTTTGCAGAACATTGGCTTTTTACAAATCCAGAACACAACCCATCAGACAATCTCAGAGGCTTTTGATTGCCTATGGGGGTGCACACCAAGAGTCTCCCATCTCCTCACAAAAACTTCCTAATTGGACAGTGTATACCATACATCTAGTGTATAACTTCTCTGGTCTTCAAATCCAAATTCATGCTACCAGAGCAATGGCGAACTACACAGCCTTACATGCCAGTGTGTCTGTTACTGATCTCTGCAAAACCACAACCTGGTTGAATCCCTTGACCTTTATTCGCCATTATCACCTTGATGTTCAAGCCAGAGTGGCCTGCACCTTTGGCAGAGCTGTCCTTTATTCTGTACACCACCGAGTCTCACTACTTCCTCTAAGAGGTAACCTTGCCAATCATCCATATGTGTGATGCCCAGAGACCTTGAAGGTCTCTCATACAGGTCGCTCATCTGTAACTGTCATTCTTCAAAAGGTCAGAAAAGGATTGGACAGATTCATCAGGGGAAGGCAATGGCTATGGGCTGCCCCCTTTACCAGAGGTGCCATGCCTGCGTGCACCAGCAGCTGAGGAGCTGGGCAGGAGGGGGTCTTGCACCCCTCCTGCTGGAGGGATCCTGTGGGCAGCTGGTTTGCCACTGCATGTATAGAGGGCTGGACTGGATGGACCTTGGGTCTGATCCAGCATGGTGCTTCTTGTGTTATTCTTCGTGGCCTCTGTGCATCACACATGTGGGCCCTTCCTGCATGCACGGAGCAATTTTTCGGGAAGATTCTAATGCCGATTAATTAGTATTCACCGGGTGCCCGGCCCCCTCTGCCGCTGGCATGAGGAGGGGGCTCCAGCCGGGACCTCAGTTCTTCTTCAACCGCCATCATGAGCGCATCAGGAAGTTCTCCAACTTGCCTCGCAAGCAATATGTAAAAGCTCCCGCTGGTCGGGTTCTTTCTCTCCATCTTCTCCCTTATTGCTTGAAGCACAAAGAAA